ACATTTGTAAATAAAATAATCCAGTGCTGTCAAGGGCTTAATTGCTTCATTTTTAGGTTATCATAATTACTAAATTTAAATTGTTAACTCCAGCTTATTGCAATATGAAATTTCTTACTTCTGTTTTTTTGCAAATATTCTTCAATCTTCCTTTTTCACTATTTCCCTGATGTAGATGTCAAGAACTTTATATAGTTATCCACTCTTTTTCATTTTTAAATTGTCACTGTATATTACTGTCTTTGGGATTTTAAAGAGATGCTTGTCTAAACGTGCCAGTGGATGCAAAATAGACATATTAAAGATATTGTTCATTTTTGATTGTTCTTCATTGACTGGTCATTTCATGAGATCCGTTTGAACAAAAACTTTATAATTGCAACTAAGTTTTCTTTATAAATGTTTTACTATTAAACTTAATTTATAAAGAAGTAAAATAAAATCATTTGACATTTCATTTACTGATGGATTGCATATCAGGACATTAGACTTGCCTGCATCTTTGTTTTAATTTCACTAAATTTATAGTAACTAATTCAAAAGGCTCAAACTTGATCATAAAGTTAATTTTCTTCATTTATTTACTTATGAAAATGATGCTATAGAAACTAATGGATAGCATTAACAAAATGTAAGTTTCATTGTGATCAGATCTGACTTAAATGACAGGAAAGATGACAAAAGAAAGTATTAAAATGGACAACATATAAGTTGAAATGTTCACTGAATCATTGCATTTTATTGACAGTTATACACAAATACAACAAATAAACACAACATCACAGGCGAACTTGTATTTGTGATCCGAGTAAATGATATGAAAAACAGGTGTCATATAGTTATTAAAAAAATCACTACAATAACATAAAAATGATACTAGCAAAAAAATTATTTTCTTCATTAAATTACTAGTGCAGTACAATACATAGGCCTATATATATATTCATAAAACCAAATATTTCATTTTAAAGTAATTAAGAAAATGCCTGATACTGTAAGTGACACCCAGGCAAAAATGCCATCTCTTGATTCCTGTTATAATTAAGTCAACAACATAATAACTAAGGAAATAAGAGATTAATATACACTGAGCAATCTTCAACATCTGATTATCCTGACCACATGACTCTCACAGTTCTTGCCTGGTTCAATAACGTGCTGTGTCTGTCATGCTCTGAAATAAAAAATAACTCACTTAGTTTTCTGAAATATATATCGTTATGTGATTTTATGAGGATTTTATGGTAAAAGGTCCACTTTTTCAGAAAACGACCCCCCTTCTAAAATTGCTGGCTACGGGCCTGGTTACCGCAAAAGACTTTTAATCACAAGTACTAGGGCTGTATTACATTAATAAACCATGGTGTCCTGTAAACTACACACACAAAACTTACTTATTAATACCGGTATGCCCCTCGACCGTTGATGATACGGTCTATACGGTGATGCCATGAAGCCAGTGACGTGTCGGGTGCTACATGTAGTTGTCTGCAGTTGGTCCCTTTCTTCCTACAAAATACTGCGACCTGATCTGTACTTTAAATACGTCGGCACTTAAGTCCTTTTAATCTGATCAAGCCCAACTTCTCTTTCTTTACTTGCGTTGCTCTATCTCAAATTACATGACAACGCCAAATTTTACTCAATGCAATCCTATAACATAGACTTGTGCCCAACCGCGAGAGAAGTTTTAATGGCAGATTTTAACCCCACCTCTCGTGAAATCTCGCTCCAATCCAGGTCTCGTTTGACGTCATCTGCTGCGCAGATGTTCAAAATAGGCTATCTCGGATGTTCCCCATTATCTACCCTACGGAAGGAATTATGGGAAAAATGTCTACAGACGGCTTTCCAAAAGTCATATGTGTAGATTTCAAATATGCCCTTGGATTTGACCTTTGACCTTTATTTCAAGGTCAAACGGGCCAAAATTTTCAAAAAAATGAATTTTTTTACGAAAAAAAAATTATTTGCGCTGTTATTCAGACACCACACAGACTTAACCAATAATATTATTGGAAAATGTTACCCTTCAGGTCATCTTTCATATCCGTAAATTTGGGGTCAATCGATGCATTTTCACGGGAGTAGCGGCCATAAGATACCGAAACTGAAAACTGTCTCTAATTCAGGAACCGTTAATGCTAGAGACCCATTCTTTTTTGCATTTTGTAGAGCATGTAAAGCCCAACACTGTAGGTGGTCTCCGTTTTTTTGTATTCCATACGGTTTTTGAGTTACGCTGTATCAAAAAGTACATATTGGTGGTGAAAGCAAAATGTGCAGTACGGTAATGGATAATAAATTTTAAACTCTGGAAAAATAAAACATAAGGCTTGGTAAAGCAGACAACTTGTGGTCAAAAATGACATTATTTCATCAAATTTGAACTTCTGGAACTTCAGAGCACCTCCCATTTCAAGAANAGTCAACAACATAATAACTAAGGAAATAAGAGATTAATATACACTGAGCAATCTTCAACATCTGATTATCCTGACCACATGACTCTCACAGTTCTTGCCTGGTTCAATAACGTGCTGTGTCTGTCATGCTCTGAAATAAAAAATAACTCACTTAGTTTTCTGAAATATATATCATTATGTGATTTTATGAGGATTTTCTGGTAAAAGGTCCACTTTTTCAGAAAACGACCCCCCTTCTAAAATTGCTGGCTACGGGCCTGGTTACCGCAAAAGACTATTAATCACAAGTACTAGGGCTGTATTACATTAATAAACCATGGTGTCCTGTAAACTACACACACAAAACTTACTTATTAATACCGGTATGCCCCTCGACCTTTGATGATACGGTCTATAGGCCCCTACGGTGATGCCATGAAGCCAGTGACGTGTCGGGTGCTAGTTGTCTGCAGTTGGTCCCTTTCTTCCTACAAAATACTGCGACCTGATCTGTACTTTAAATACGTCGGCACTTTAATCTGATCAAGCCCAACTTCTCTTTCGTTACTTCACTTCTCTCGCCAGTCGTGTCCGTCATCCATGGTCATTTTCCTGGTTTTTCCGCTTAGCTTTAACTGCAATGCACCCTACGACACAACATTAGCAATTCGCCATTGCGTTGCTCTATCTCAAATTACATGACAACGCCAAATTTTACTCAATGCAATCCTATAACATAGACTTGTGCCCAACCGCGAGAGAAGTTTTAATGGCAGATTTTAACCCCACCTCTCGTGAAATCTCGCTCCAATCCAGGTCTCGTTTGACGTCATCTGCTGCGCAGATGTTCAAAATAGGCTATCTCGGATGTTCCCCATTTTAAACCACCCACAAGAGCTAACTTAAATCTGTTGAGAACAGAGCTTAAGTCTTGACAGATATGAGTTAAACCTCCGGGGTTAATCCGACTGGATGACGCAGTGCCTGTAGTTAACAAACAACTACAAAGGTATTTTAAAATTATTATTTTAATCTCGGGAAACCCGGAGAAGAACACACCGCTGGATAGGTTGGATTGAATACTAAAGCCTAGATTACATTAAAATGCGATGCCCGTATGGTGCGTATACTGCCCGTGATACCCTTTTCGTACGTAGCGTCTGAGCAGAGGTAGACGGTGGCCGTGCGAAATCGCACGGAATCGTACGGATTTAAAGCCATGTAATGTAGACATACTCGGCGTAGCCCGTAGCTCCTTAAGATTAAAAAAATAATAATAATAATAATAATAATAAAATAAAAATCGTGCGGACAATTTTATCGCACGTTGCGCGTGTAAATGTAATCTAGGTATAAGTCTGATGGTATACACTCGGACATAATATTTATTATTATATATGTCCAAGGTATACTGTATAAATGTCAGCAGAGTTCCCACCAGCACTGATTGTCCACCCACTGGGCTGTCCCTGTGTCCAGTGGATGTAGAGTGAAGTGTACCAGTAGTAGAGAAGAGGGAGGTATATGTGTATACTGAAACCCAGTGGCGGATTTAGGGGGGTTAGGGGGGTCCTGCCCCCCCCCCCCAAACCTTGTTTTTTGGTCCCCTCTTGAAATTAAAATTCTGATTAGCTTAATCATAGTTCTAAAACGTACCAAATGGCTCCGTTCGCCCTCTAAAATACCACCCCACGTCAAGTGAGAGGGGGTGGCTTCACATTCCCCCTTCAAATAATCCTGGACACGCCCCTGCTCTTACCTGTTGGCAGAGTGCCAACAGGCAAAACTGTTCACTATGGTACAGGTAATATTGAACAGGTAACAATGACATGTACTTAATAAAACTACTTGCAACACGTGAGTGCTCTGAAGCAGAACAGAGCATTTCATCGCCTATATAAGCATCTTCGTGGACATTTTCATGTATTTTGGTGCCGATCATTCGTGAGCTCGGGCATGATGAAGTTCCTCCTCCTCCTTGGCGTTCTTTCCGTCCTCTCCGTCGGGACTAACGGGCAGAATACGAAAGATGCCGTGGGTATTTTCAACAGGAAATACGATCTTTACCTTCTAACTATACAGATTGAGAAAATGCGTGAAAAGCTGTTTAAAGATTGTCCGGCGTTCTTCAGTCAGCCGGAGAGCGCAAAAAAACTGGCGCAATTCTTTGGGAAGAGAGAGGTGGATCCCGCCAACCTAGATTTGAAGGTGAAGCTCGCGCGTCATTCGTTGGACAGCATCAAGAAAGAATATCTGAAGTGTATCAAGGGGAATTCACAAGTTGTCACCACAAGTAAGTTCACTGCTGAAGAAAAAAGAAGACAGGTTGGTTACAATAATCTATAATATTATTACGAGTCTGACAGCAGTAATAACGTTGAAAGTTGGGTTGAAATGTGTGATATGTCCACATGAACTATATTGTATAATTGTACCACCAGCGCGGCGATGGCGGTACACATGATTTTAGTCCCAAACTGTATCGTCCCCCGGCTTCGCCGCCACGTCACCGTTACCGCTTTTCCTCTTAGACTACAACAGCCGAAGAGCCCGTGTATCCATCGCTTGTAGGTAGGTCACATATAATCCCAACTCTATCCGTGCGAATTTTGGGCTTTGTCGGTGCACCAGTCTCGGGTTGACTGCCGTCGCAATGCACCCTTGTCCAAAATTTGCAAAATTAAATGATAAATATCTCTTAAACCGAGGGCATTATGGGAAAATTTACAATAGATGGCTGAACGAAAGTCATTTGTGGAAATTTCAAATATACCCTTGGATTTGATCCATGAACTTTTATTTTAAGGTCAAATGGACCAAAATTTTCTAAAAATGAGTTTTTTTGTAAAAAAAGAATAATAATATAATAAAATAAAATAAATAAATGAATAAATTATATATATATATATTAGTGCTGACTTTCAGAAACTACAAAAGCCTAACCTATAAAATTATGGGCGGGTATTGCACTTACATGTAAAGTCATCTTTCAGGTTTCTGAGTTTGGGGTCAATTAGTGCATTTTCACGGGAGAAGCAGTCATTGGATTCCGAAACTGAAAACTCTCTCTAATTCTGAACCCGTAAATGCTAGAGACTTCTTGTTTTTTGCATGTTATATATCTTGTCAAGCGCAACACTGGAAGTGGTGTCCTTTTTGGTTTTTTGTTTTCCATACGGTTTACGAGTTGCCCCATATCAAAACGTACAAAGTCGCTATATTCATTGGTTAAAATAAAATGTAAACTAACTCTAAAATGAGCAGAAATATGCCATAGTTACTGTTGATCTTGAGTAGGAAGTCATATTCTGTCAATATGCGACCTTGAAATTGCCCTTTGACCTACTTTTTGCCATGCACTGAACTTTGCAAGTTTTCTGTCCCGTATTATCTTGAAAACTGGCAGACTATTGAGCTTGAATGGGAAGTCATATACCGGCAATCTAACTGTGACTTTATAATTAACCTTTGTCCTACTTTTCACCATGAGCTGAACTTTGCAAGTTTTCCATTATATCTTCAAAACTGGCGGAGATATGCCCATACATTGTAGGTACTATTGAACTTAAATAGGAAGTCATATATTGAGTCTTCCTGTGACCTTGAAATTGACTTTTGACCTACTTTTCGCCTTAAATCGCATTCACAAATTTGGATTTGACCTTTTTACTTTCCCCCATGATTTTCCGATAAATTGTAATTTTCAACCAAAAAAAATTGAGAACTTTTATTTAATGTATTTTCTAGAGCTTGTCAAGCACAACATGAATTTACTTCAGTTGGTGGTACAATACCTGGAGGCGGTATTGCCTCTGATCCTTTAGTTTATTATCATTAAGCAATATTTGGATGAATGCAAATATTAATCAATATTTTTGTTCACTATGCAACCATCAGAAATAAATTAATGTGACACCCCCAGCACCACCAACATAAAGGAATGGAATACGAAATAGAAACCATTGATCATCTTATCTCCAGCTGATAAGAGTTATATCGATCTAATAAAAATTTAATTAACACGATCAAATTAATTCTCAATAATTAAAATAAAAAATGTCATATTTCAGTTAGAGATAGTTGCATCGGTAACAGCTGTAGGAACAATGGCACGTGTATTCCCAATGAGAAGAATTACACCTGTAGATGTTTACCCGGGTACAGCGGAGATAGGTGTGAGAAGGGTGCGTGAGTCTTTTCGTCATAAAAGATATTCAGGTGGCAAACACTCGTCACATTTGTTCTGAAAAGGGAGTGCCTGAGAGAGAGAGAGAGAGAGAGAGAGAGAGAGAGAGAGAGAGAAAGAGAGAACGCGTATTTAGAAGAAACTGTGGGGAGACAAAGGAATGGGCGGTCTTGCTTTCATGTAGGGTCCACCATATATGATCTGCGAACCAGTAAATTCGGGGATAATCTGTTCTGAATGCAATCTTAGTCCAGTAAACGAACAACTAAGGTTGGGAAAAAAAAAACGTTAACTAAGGTTTCTAAACTGAATCCGGTCCAGTTATGGCCCAATATAACCCAGATTATTTCCCAACGGAATCCACCCATGGTGCCAAAATCCAAAATGGCCGCCAATGCATAGGGGAGGGTATGTAAATGGGCATGTCACTTTGCCATGGGTGGATTCCGGTGAGAAATATCTGGGTTATGTTGGCTCATAACTCGACCAGATTCAGTTGAGAAAGCTTTGTTGACGTTTTTTCAACTTCAGTGGGGAAATTTCGTTCGTTAACTGGACTATACGTTGCCTGGATTCCAAAGATTGACCTGCAATAAGAGTGTGCATTTTTTTACTCAGCCTGCGTTTAAGGGTATAACACGAATTTAATAACATTTTTATTTTATTTTATTTGTTTTAGAGACATTTATTAGTTAAACAGTATACTAGCAGTGTGTCAATTCATGTCCATATCGATTAAAGATGATGCTAGGTTTTCTTGAAAGACAAACCAAACGAAATGTGCCGTATAATTTCAGTGAACAAGAATCCATGCGGGAGCATTCTCCACCATTCTTCCGTGCGCCAAGACAATAACACCGGCTTCACTGTACCGGCCGGTTGGGTTCTCTGCTACATCGATAGCGATGACGTCACATACGCACAGACCCCCTGCATAGACCTGCTCCAAGATGTCTCCAACTACCAGACTTTCGGATGCTGGCATGGATGCTCCGGATCGGCCAAGGGCCCCGCCTATGCCAGTAATGATGTCATAGAGAAAGCCTGCAAGCCGAATATCCAACAGACAAACAAGATGGGTACTTGGTGCAGCAGTGGAACTCGTCAAACAACATTTGGCGTTTGCATTCAAATGAAAGATTGAAGCAATCAAATGAAATAAAGCATGCTGTGCATATAAACACACAGAAATAACGGAAATGTATCATTTCCTTGAATTGTCTAATTATATTACGTCAGAGATGTGATAGAAAATAAAATGAAACTTTTTCGTCAAGGTATTTTACTTACTGTTAACTTCAAAATGGAGAAAAGTAAAGGCGGTTTTAAAAGGTCTACTTTCCTATTAAAGCAATGTTGTTCTAAATTGATACTGAAGGCTTAGCGTCATACTGCCACCACCACCACCCCCTTCCAAAAATGAATAATTGCGCTGCGTGATCAAACTCAATTAGTCTGATTAGTCATGTTTGGTTTCAATTGATTGATAAAGATATACTGACAGTCAATGAAAACGCATCAGAAAACTTTCTTGTACTTTTTTTTTACCGAGAATCGATTCCAACCAAATACAAATATATATACAAATAAATACAAATGCACTTGTTTGGTCATAAGAGAGTAGGATGACCACTATTTTATATTTCACATATTTCACACGAAAACTGTTATTTTCTTAATGTGCCAAAGGAACTAAAAATATTATTTGATAAATAAATGATGCGTTTTCATTGACTGTCAGTATATATTAGAGCTAAGATAAGATTAATTTTTTTCAACCGCGTTGAATGAAACGCACAATTTGAAAAAAACACAAGACAATTCATAATCCCGCAAAAGTCGGAGCAATCTTGCGAAATACAGTGGGAAATACGCCTAGCATAAGCCTAGGCATCATGGGCTTAGTCTCAATAGCGATGAACATTGTTCTATATATTTTGAAATTCAAAAACAATGTTTGAATTAGTCTGATAAGTAATTCCCATTCAAATAATTTGGAGTACCTACCATTAAAATAAACAGAAACAATGAAAATGCACTAAGAGGCCAAGAGCAAGTGGATAGGTGAACAGACTAAGGAAATTAATAATTGTTTGGCGAGACGAAACAACAAGGACGCTTATGAAGTAGTGAAAAATCGTACAATCAAACTTGGAGATGAGAGAAAGAAAGCATCGTCCATCACTGAAGATGCAAACGGGAGTGAAGAGATTGCACAAATATGAAAGAGTATTGCAAAAAATTGTACAACTATGATGCGTATAAGAACCAAGAAATACTTCAAGAAAGGATACAAGAGGGAGACCCTAGAGAAGATGAAGATATCCTTCTTTTAGAAGTTGAGCAGGCAGTAAAGGAGCTAAAAATGGTAAATCACTAGGAGCTGACAACATTGTAGCAGAACAACAACACGTTGGAAAAGAAACAGTGAAGGTGCTCCATAAATTATGCAATGTCATTATTCAAAGCAAGGAATGGCCAGATCAATGGACCGAAAGCGTGATAAAACCAATCCGAAGAAACCGGCAGCAAGAAGTGCTCTGACTTCAGAACTATAAGCCTTCTTGGCCATGCGTCCAAAGTCCTCTTAAAAGTCATCCAGTGGGTACATACAACAGGAGATGACAAGACAGTGTGTGTTCATTCCAAAAAAAAAAAGATCATGGATTCAGTGACGGAGGGAAAGCTAAGATACTGTGAGCACGTGGTTAGAGGAGGGAGAATGGCAAAGGTGGTGATGGAGGGACAACTGGAAGGAAGTAAAGGAAGAGGACGACCGCCGGAAAGATGGGACAACAACTTAAAGGACTGGACTGGGAGCAGAATGGAGGAGTTGAAGGAGAAGGCAGAGACAGGGAAGAATGGAGGAGGAGAGTCAAGGCATGGGTGCACCAACGGCCCTGACAGGCGACGGACATGATGATGATGACCAGTCATCACGCTTTAAATTTCTATACCTAAAATACCTTTAAATAATTGTTTCACAACAAGGAAAACTGCATAATCACTTATACTTACGATGCCATTTTAGATGTAACACAGTCACTAGTGCACTGATTTAATCGATTTCAGTTGTCATTTCATTTTATTAAACGAAGGCATTATTTTGGCTTTTCAATGGTAAAATCTGAACTAAGCATTTGAGATCAATCGCTTACATGGGTTTTTAAAACCCAACGGTGTCATTGGCGTTGTAATTGTGTACGTAAGTGCTCAGGTTAAGGAGATAACTGGGAATCATTTTTTTACTCCTAAAACTCAATCATGACGTCATAAAATAACGTTAATATTAGAAAAAGAAAAAATCAACTATGTGAACGGCAAATAAAAAGCCTTATTCATCCAAGATAAGGCTTTAAAAGTGGAATGGTGGTCATGTTATGTTTATATTGATTTTATATTGGATTCTTTCTGTCAAAATGTGCCTCTTGTCAAAGCAAAAAACATCTAAAATCGGGCTTTGTATGATGTTAATGCGCATTTGCAAAAGAGTGTTTTACCGTCATATAATGTTTTTTTTTCGTTTAGTAAATTATCTTCACTCTTTAACACCTTTTTTTGGCGTGAAAAAATAGCTTATGCACTTATAACTGGCAATAAAACAGCCGCATAGTAATTACACAGTATGATCGTTTTCGGGCTGCAGAAGTTTTGCGGTATAATTTTAAACAACGTTAAGTTGGACCAAGAAGGGTTTACTTAAAACTGTTGAGAACAGAGCTCACGGCTTGACAGATAAATATATATAGGTTAACTCTCCGGGGTTAATCCTAGCGGTTAACGTAGTGCCTATATAAGCATCTTCGTGGACATTTTCATGTATTTTGGTGCCGATCATTCGTCAGCTCGAGTAGAATGATGTTCCTATTTCTTTTTGGCGTTCTGTCCTTCCTGTCTGTCGGGATTAACGGGCAAAATACGAAAGATGCCGTGGGCATTTTCAATAGGAAATACGATCTTTACCATCTTACTCTACAACTTGAGAAAATGCGTGAAAAACTGTTTAAAGATTGTCCGGCGTTCTTCAGTCAGCCGGAGAGCGCAGAAAAACTGGCGCAATTCTTTGGGAAGAGAGAGGTAAATCCCGCCAGTCTGGACATGGAGCTGGAGCTCGCACGTTATTCGCTGGACTACATCAAGCAAGAATATCTGAAGTGTATCGAGGCGAATTCACAAGTTGTCACCACAAGTGAGTTCTTTCCCGACAAAAAAAAAAAGACAGATGGGTTACAAGAATTTATAATATTATTTCGAGTCTGTAGGCGGTTATGTTGAATATTGGGTCGTTGGTCTGTTGAAATGTCCATATGCTCTATAGTGTATGATTTACAGTCACTAACGCATCTTTTAAAATTCTACTTACTGTTTTATTTTGGTGGTGGTGGTGGGTGTGTCATATTCACATCTGACGATTGCAGAATGTACTAAAATACAAAACATCTAAACTGCAGCATGAGTTCTATCGATAAGATAAAACAAATTTTAAAAAAATGAGAAAAAGAAATCTAAATCAATAAAAGAGATTGTTATATTTTAGTTAAAGATAATTGCATCGGTAACAGCTGTAGGAACAACGGCACGTGTATTCCCAATGAGAAGAATTACACCTGTAGATGTCTACCCGGGTACAGCGGAGATAGGTGTGAGAAGGGTGCGTGAGTCTCTTCGGCATAAAAGATTATCAGGTGGTGGCCTTTCGTAACATTTATTAGGACAGAGGGGTGTCTGTCATTAGTGTCTCGCGATTATCATTAAACTAAGGTTGTTTGGCGGTTGGGGAGGGCGAGAGAGAGAGAGAGAGAGAGAGAGAGAGAGGACATGAAGAAGATTAAAAAAAAAAGCTGCACGTCATCGTGCGATTATTTATTAAGCTACTATTAAAAAGCAGCATTATTCATGGTGGCAGCATTTTCTTAATATTGCTCTTTTTTTATAGCATGAATTTATTTACATTTTTTATTTGTTTACAGACATTTTCGGTTTTCCGTATACAGTGTCCATATCGATCAGCGTGCTGCAGGATAATGCTGCTAATATTTTTGAAAGACAAACCAAACGAAATGTGCCATATTATTTCAGTGAACAAGAATCCATGCGGGAGCATTCTCCACCATTCGTCCGTGCGCCAAGACAACAACACCGGTATCACTGTACCGGCCGGTTGGGTTCTCTGCTACATCGATAGCGATGACGTCACATACGCACAGACCCCCTGCAGAGACCTGCTCCAAGGTGTCACCAACTACCAGAATTTTGGATGCTGGCATGGATGCTCCGGATCGGTCAAGGGTCCCGCTTATGCCAGTAATGATATCATAGAGGAAGCTTGCGAACCGAATATCCAACACACAAGCAAGATGCGTACTTGGTGCGGTGGAAATAGCCACACAACATTTGGCGTTTGCATTCAAATGAAAAACTGAAGCAGTCAAATGAAATAAAGCATGCTGTGCATATAAACACATAGAAAGAACGAAAATATCTCAAATCCTTAAATTGTCCATTAATGTTAACACAGGGATGTGAAAAAAATAAAAGAAATCCAGTATGTCAAGCAGATGCTCGAAAAGCGTTTTATTTACTGAATGTTTTATTTATCCAAGATTAGGCTTTAAAGATAGAATGGTGTTCATGAGAAATTCATATTGATTCTCCCTTTCAAAGTTAACCTCTTCTCAAAGAACAAAAAATATCCAAAAATGGGCCTCATGTAACTTCTAAAGGGGCATTTGAATGTTTTACCGTTGCGTAATGCATGATTAATTTTCTATTTTCATAAGTTCTTATCTTCACTTTCTAGAAACTTTTTCGCGTATTCACAGAATTATTTTATAAGCTGTGTTGTGAATATAGCCTCTATTCAGGGTCATGCCTTCACAGATAAATATATAAACATATATGGGTTAATCGCCCGGGGTTAATCCTAGCGGTTGACGTAGTGCCTATATAAGTATCTTCGTGGACATTTTCATGTATTTCGGTGCCGATCATTCGATCGTCAGCTCGAGCATGATGATGTCCCTCCTACTCCTTGGCGTTCTGTCTTTCCTGTCCGTCGGGACTAACGGGCAAAATACAAACCATGCCGTGGGCATTTTCAACAAGAAATACGATCTATACCAACTAACTCTACAGCTTGAGAAAATGCGGGAAAAGCTGTTTAAAGATTGTCCGGCGTTCTTCAGTCAGCCGGAGAGCGCAGAAAAACTGGAGCAATTCTTTGGGAAGAGAGAGGTAAATCCCGCCAGTCTGGACATGGAGCTGGAGCTCGCACGTCATTCGCTGGACTACATCAAGCAAGAATATCTGAAGTGTACCGAGGCGAATTCACAAGTTGTCACCACAAGTAAGTACTTTCCCAATAAAAAAGAATAATTACGTTGAAAGCTGGATTGTTGGTCTGTTGAAATGTTCATATGCCCTATAGTGTATAATTTATAGGCATTAAAGCATTTTTTGAATTCTACTTTTTGTTTTATTTTGTTGGTGGTAGGGGGTGTCATATTCACGTGCGACGGTTGCAGAGTGAACTGAAAATATAAAAAATCTTAACTGCAGCATGAGTTATATCGGTATGATGAAACAATTTTAATTAAAATGATCAAATGAAAGCTAAATCATTAAAAGAGAAAAATGTAATATTTCAGTTAAAGATAATTGCATCGGAAACAGCTGTAGGAACAACGGCACGTGTATTCCCAGTGAGAAGAATTACACCTGTAGATGTCTACCCGGGTACAGCGGAGATAGGTGTGAGAAGGGTGCGTGAGTCTTTTCGTCATAAAAGATTTTCAGGTGGTGACCCTTCGTGACATGCATTCTTACAAGGGAGAGTCTCTGAGAGAGAGAGAGAGAGAGAGAGACGAAAAAGCTGCATTTCGTCGACTATAATTTACCAAACTGTTAACAATTTTCCAAATGTTGCTCTTCAGTGTTATTGATATTACTATCACTGATTATCAACGAAAAACTTGTTAAGGGCATCATAATTGTTAAATTATTAGTTAATTTAATGGCGATTTATCAATTAAACTTTTTCTGTGCATTTCAGACACAGATGAGTGTGCCAGCACACCGTGTTTAAATGGGGGCACTTGTATAGACGGTATCGCAGGTTATACTTGCCTATGTGCACCTGGATTCCAAGGATTGAACTGCAATAAGAGTGCGCATTTGTTTTTACTCAGCCTGGGGTTAAGAATATAACATAAATTGTATTTTTATTTTATTTGTTTTAGAGACATTATTTCGTTTTACAGTACACTAGCAGAGTGTCAATTCATGTCCATATCGATTAAAGATGATGCTAGGTTTTCTTGAAAGACAAACCAAACGAAATGTACCGTATAATTTCAGTGAACAAGAATCCATGCGGGAGCATTCTCCACCATTCTTCCGTGCGCCAAGACAACAACACCGGTATCACTGTACCGGCCGGTTGGGTTCTCTGCTACATCGATAGCGATGACGTCACATACGCACAGACCCCCTGCATAAACCTGCTCCAAGGTGTCACTAACTACCAGAATTTCGGATGCTGGCATGGATGCTCCGGATCGGTCAAGGGTCCCGCTTATGCCAGTAATGACATTATAGAGGAAGCTTGCAGACCGAATATCCAACAGACAAACAAGATGGGCACTTCTTGGTGCAGCAGGGGAACTCGCCATACAACATTTGGCGTTTGCATTCAAATGAAAAACTGAAGCATTCAAATGAAATAAACACATAGGGACCATTCCCACAGATATTTTGATCGATCTATCTCCCTGGGATGTCACACTATATTGCTATCAACTTAACCGGCTTAAATGTCTGTCACGCCTAGTAAAGCTATTAGGGGGTAATTACCTTAACCCTAGCTGATTCGGTAGGCATGACAGACATTTAAGCCAGTTAAGTTGATAGCAATTTAGTGAGACTCCCCAGGGAGTTAGACCTATCCAGATGGATCTAGGCATGGGAACCCAGGCATAGAAAGAACGAAAAATGTCTCAAAATTTTTAATTGTCCAGATATGTTAACACAGAGATATGAAAATAAAAATAAAATTAAACGAAATCCAGTACGTCAAGCAGACACTTGAAATGTATTTTATTTACTGAATGTTTTTTTTTTCATATTAGGCTTTTAAAGTGGAATGGTGGTCATGAGAGATTCATATTGATTCTCCCAGTCAAAATTTACCTCTTCACAAATATATATATATATATATATATATATATATATATATATATATATATATATATATATATCCAAACATGGCCTCATGTAATAAGGCGCATTTGCATAGTGGTGTTTTACTGTTGCGTATTGTATGATTAATTTTATATTTTCATAAGTTATCTTCACTTTCTAGAAACATTTTTCGCGAATCAAAGAATAATTTCATCCGCTGTGTTATGTTATAAGAATAAAGTATTGATTTCTTCAATCAACAGTTTGATATTAAAATTGTTTACCTGCAATATTTCGATGTCTAACAAATCATCTTCATCAGGAAAGGAGGCTATCCAGGTGAAGATAAACTCTATTCAGGGTCATGTCTTCACAGATAAATATATACATATATGGGTTAATCGCCCGGGGTTAATCCTAGCGGTTGACGTAGTGCCTATTTAAGTATCTTCGTGGACATTTTCATGTATTTTGGTGCCGATCATTTGACGGCTCGAGCAGAATGATGTCCTTCTCCTCGGCGTTCTGTCTTTTCTGTCCGTTGGGACTAACGGGCAAAATACGAACCATGCCGCGGGCGTTTTCAACAAGAAATACGATCTTTACCACCTAACTCTACAACTTGAGAAAATGCGTGAAAAGCTGTTTAAAGATTGTCCGGCGTTCTTCAGTCAGCCGGAGAGCGCAGAAAAACTGACGCAATTCTTTGGGAAGAGAGAGGTAAATCCCGCCAGTCTGGACATGGAGCTGGAGCTCGCGCGTCATTCGCTGGACTACATCAAGCAAGAATATCTGAAGTGTATCGAGGCGAATTCACAAGGTGTCACCACAAGTAAGTTCTTTCCCAAGAAAAAAGGATAATTACATTGAAAGCTGGATTGTTGGTCTGTTGAATGCTCTATAGTGTGTAATTCATAGTCATTAAAGCATTTTTTGAATTCTACTTATTGTTTTATTTTGTCGGTGGTAGGGGTGTCATATTCACGTGCGGCGGTTGCAGAGTGAACTGAAAATATAGAAAATCTTAACTGCAGCATGAGTTATATCGATATGATGAAACAATTTTAATTAAAATGATCAAATGAAAGCTAAATCATTAAAAGAGAAAAATGTAATATTTCAGTTAAAGATAATTGCATCGGAAACAGCTGTAGGAACAACGGCACGTGTATTCCCAATGAGAAGAATTACACCTGTAGATGTTTACCCGGGTACAGCGGAGATAGGTGTGAGAAGGGTGCGTGAGTCTTTTCGTCATAGAAGATTTTCAGGTGGTGACCCTTCGTGACATGTATTCTTACAAGGGAGAGTCTCTCAAGAAGAGAGGGGGATAAACGAAAAAGCTGCATTTCGTCGACTATAATTTACCAAACTGTTAACAATTTTCCAAATATTGCTCTTCAGTGTTATTGATATTACTATCACTGATTATCAACGAAAGACTTATTTAGGGCATCATAATTGTTTGATTATTAGTTAATTTAATGGCGATTTTTCTGTGCATTTCGAACACAGATGAGTGTGCCAGCACACCGTGTTTGAATGGGGGCACTTGTATAGAAGGTTATACTTGCCTATGTGCACCTGGATTCCAAGGATTGAACTGCAATAAGACTCTAAAGAGTGCGCATTTGTTTTTACTTAGCCTGGGGTTAAGAATATAACATAAATTACATTTATATTTTATTTGTTTTAGAGGCATTATTTCGTTTTACAGTATACTAGCAGAGTGTCAGTTCAATTCCATATCGTTGAAAGGTAATGATGCTTGTTTTTCTTGAAAGACAAACCAAACGAAATGTACCGTATAATTTCAGTGAACAAGAATAATTGCGGGAGCATTCTCCACCATTCGTCCGTGCGCCAAGACAACAACACCGGTATCACTGTACCGGCCGGTTGGGTTCTCTGCTACATCGATAGCGATGACGTCACATACGCACAGACCCCCTGCAGAGACCTGCTCCAAGGTGTCACCAACTACCAGAATTTCGGATGCTGGCATGGATGCTCCGGATCGGTCAAGGGTCCCGCTTATGCCAGTAATAATGTCATAGAAATGGCGTGCAGACCGAATATCCAACAGACAAACAAGATGGGCACTTCTTGGTGCAGCAGGGGAACTCGCCAAACAACATTTGGCGTTTGCATTCAAATGAAAAACTAAAGTAGTCAAATGAAATAAAACATGCTGTGCACAAACAAATGCACGTGCACGAGGAGAAGGGAAATGTCTCAATTCCTTGAATTGTGCAATTATGTTACTACAGAGATGTGATAATAAATAAAATAAAATCCATTTGTCAAGCAGACAATCGAAAAACATTTTATATTTACCTCCGCCAAGGAGATTTTGTTTTCACCCCTGTTTGTTTGTTTGTTTGTCATCAACACAACTCAAAAAGTTATTGAAAAATTTCGATGGAATTTACAGGGTAGGTCAGAAATGGGTTAACTCAGAAGTGATTAGTTTTTGGTGGTGATCCAGATCCATTATCAATCAATAATCAATCAAAAATAAAAAAAACTAAGTTATGGACCGATTTTGATGAAATTTTCAGGAACTGTCAGAGGTGGGTCAAGGAACAGATGATTAGTCTTTGGTGGTGATCCGGACCAATAATCAATCAATAATCAATAATCAAAAATCAAAAAACTAAATCATTAAAGAATGAAAATTTAGGGCTGAAACGGCATTGGATGGAGACTTTGCTGCCTTGGCGGAGGTCTGCACTCTCTGAGTGCTTTTCTAGTTACTGTTTACTTCGAAATGGAGAAAAGCAAACGCGTTTTTAAAATGATATAGGCCTACGTATACTTTACTTTTAGAGCAATATTGTTTTGACTATTGCTGAACACCTAGAGCCTTACTACCCTCCCCCCCCCCAAAAAAAAAAAAAAAATTGAAAAAAAAAAATAAATAAAAACCAATTTGTATAAAATGGTCATTTTTAATGAGGTCCCNTTTTGACTATTGCTGAACACCTAGAGCCTTACTACCCTCCCCCCCCCAAAAAAAAAAAAAAAATTGAAAAAATAAAAATAAAAAACACAAGTAAAATAAAAATGATAGGCCTACTTGCGCTACATATCAAGCTCTTGAATTAGTAATAGTTTATTTTAATCGATTGGCAAAGATATAATATAGCTAAGATAATATTAATTTATTTCAACCATGTAAAGTGAAATTAAAGCACACTTGATAAACTTGAAGAACCCACGACCAGGCAATTCATAATCCCGTAATGGGTCCGTGATGTGTTGTGAAGTAGGCTACAGTTCGAAATACGCCTAGCATATGCCTAGGGATATAATATGCTTATTCTCAATAACTATGAAAATTGGTCTAGATATTTTGCACCTTCAGAGGGCCAGGAAAATGACAATCTGTTTTTCACCCTCAAACCTTCATGCTTCATGCTAAAATTGTTGAAAAGAAGAAAAAGTGTGCGAGGACCGGGAGTCGAACCCGGATCGACTGCTTGGAAGGCAACCATGCTAACCGTTACACCATCCACGCTTGATGAAAGTAAGTGGTTGTTCAAAAATATTTAGATCTGTCTTGATGAAAAGAAATTGTTTCACACACTGATTAATTCCATTATATCAGAATTGGCGTTCTGAATAGAAATTATTTTATTTTATTTTGTAAACAAATGGTCTTTCTCATTATGCACCTAAATACCTTCTTAAATTTTAACCGGAAAAGCCGGTAATTATGTACTTCGCGGATTACTTCCTGTGATCCGTTTCAATATGGCGGCTGATGATTCGGGTAAGTTGAATATTTTCATTCATTTGTCAAAATTCCAATGAAAAGGTCGCAGTATTTGAGAAATTTGGTAAACAGCAATCGAAAATATATGTAAATTATTCAAGAATTGAAAAAATATATATTGCCAAGTGTACTTAAACTTTCTGACATTGATGAGAAATGTTCAACGATTTAAACTTGTTGATAACGCGGTTAACAGAATCAGAATCAGAAGTTTATTGACAATCGCCCTACATCCGGGCATGATCAACGAAGTCTTGGGAAGTTGGGATAAGATTGTTTCCTAAGTTGATGTCAGTATTTTAGCGCATTTACATTCCAACCACCTCATGAGAGCGGTAAGCCTTTTGGGAACACAGTACGTTTTAAAGTAAACCCCACGACCACTTGAATATGCACAGAAATAACCAGCGGTGCTCGGTTAGCATACTGCTAGTAGTAATACTAATATACAGCTCTTAACACACAAACCCAATTCATCCTTTGAAATTCTATTTAAATCTATGTTACCAGATACAGAGCCGATGGATTTTCAAGAAGAGGAACTTGCTTCTTCGAGGTATTTATGTGTTCATATCAAGCTTGTACCCTGCAATTTGTACCCTGGGGGTAGAGGTGTCAGTAAAATGATTTTTTATTTTACCACTTTGGTTGAGGCAAAGTTTTCTGTTTTAAGTAACTCTTTTGTTTATAGATTTTAAAATTAACCACAGTTGAAGAACCACATTTTATAAACTTTTATTATTGCAATATGATAAGCTGTTAAAAAAGGTATATTTGATTTGGGTGGCTGTGTGACTGCTGTTTAAATTAGCTTCTTTTCCTCCCAGTTCCAGCATAGCAGACACCAAGTTTGATATAACAATAGGACACATAGAAGACATTATAATGGGTAATGTGTAAAGTGCAAATGTTTTACAGAGTAAAATACTCATTTTATGAAAATAATGGTTTTAGTACCCATAGAAATAAAAGAGTGAGGACATTTTGACAAAATAAGAAGTAAAAACTGTTATAGTCAAAGTATTTATAAAGAATTTTTTATTAATGGTGCTGCTTGATAATAACAGAAAACACTTGGCATTCATGGTGTGATGTTGGTTTTGCATTTGCAGAAGATGAATTCCAGGATCTACAACAAAAATTCCTTGAAAAATATTACAAAGAATTTGATGATAGCGAAGAGAATAAATTCATATACACAGATATCCATCAAGAATATGTAAGTTCACAATGTTTCATCTTGCCAAAAGTCACATATTTGTTGTTGTAATAGTTCCATAATCCTTGGTTGAAAAAGCGAAGGATGCATTGGCCACAGAATCGTAACAGATATTTCAAACACCCATTATTCTTATCATATATCATTTTAATATCTATATCTATACATATCTATATATATATATTGGTTAATTACAAGCACAATTTTGCTAATATACTTAAAATGTTTGTGCTCTATTCTTTACAGATCAATCTGGTAGAAAAATTTATTGAAGAAGAACTTACTAGGCGAATGCAAGGTTTTTGCATGAGTGAATTCTCTAAGCAATTAGTGTAAGTTGGGCTGAATTTTTTTCTCAATTGAATGGATATTTATTTACTTTGATGGGTTAAAAAGTGATCAAATATGTTTTTTTTTCATGTAAGAGAATGAAAAAAGCTTAAATAATGGTTTGATATGTGGGTGTACTGAGCCTAATGAAGAGATTTACTTAATATCTGCACAAGTGTATAATCAAATCTACATGTGTGGTGTATAACCCAGTTGCTAGTCTCGGTCTACTTTTAATCTGACTGAGATATCCAAGATCTAAAATACGTATCATCTGGCTGCCATGTAAGTTCAGGTTTATTTGTTCATTCAGATATAACTTTAACAGCATT